CTGTGTTTTCAATATGCAAAGCATAGCAGAGGAAACCTTACATAAGCTGTCATGGACTATAAATACATATGCTTAACACCGTTCATTCATCACAAAGTCTGTTCATGATAAGGAATCATCTTCAGCAGGTTTCTCTTCTCTCTTCAGCCTCCACTTGCAAACAACCTGCAAGAGCTGCAGACAGATACTTGAGAAACGCATTTTCTCATCATGACCCTTATGAAATGGTTTCATTCTCCCCGAGTCAGACCACAAATACCACATCCTGAGGCAGTACTTAAAATAAACAGAGGCTTGTCTGCTAGGATCTGTGCTGGATTTCGCAATTTTGCTCAAGTGAGATAAAAAGAAAAGATGTTTTGATAGGAACATTTCTTTATGTTTAACAAGATCACATTTGTATCAAAGCGAGTACAGAGCCTATAGTATGACACACTATTTATGAAAAACGCCTTCAGCCAGTGTTGTAGTCACGACTACCTACATCGAAACCAAGTCATGACCAAAACAAGAAGACAAATTATTAAAATCGAAACATGAGCAAGACTTTTGAGGTCGAAACCAAGTGAAGACAAAGACCAAGGCTGGGCAAGTCCCAGGCTGAATGACACACAATAAAATGTAGAAGATGCAAACCATAGGTTATTCTTAAACTGATCTGAAAGATCCACGTTCCTATTAAAACACCCACAGAAAATAAAAAAAGATGCCTGTACATTCACCTCTTTTATTGCCATACTGTATGTGTGTATGTATAAGTGTACCATGAGAAATACCTTGATAAAATAACCAAAAGGCAGACCAATGCACCAAGGCACCCTTGAGCAGTTGCACCAGGCTGCGGCATTTTTTGATGCTCTAGGCAACTACTGTAGTTCAAAGAGCGTTATAGTCTATAGGCCACATGGGAGAGCAGGTGGATGGGTCAGACAAACTCCAGACTTTCACCTGGGAACCTGGGAGTTTGTATCTCACGTGAAACCAAGAGTCAGTCGAGTTATTTTACTAACATAGTAGTGTGCCACTATGTGTAGCATAATATGCTAATAAAGTATGTCATGTGACATTACACTATGTTAGTGATATACATACTTATTTAAAGCCAAAACATGTTATTTTCCTAAACCTAACTTTCTACCTTTTTAGCCTAAACCTAAATAAGTAAACCTAGAAATAAACCTGTTACCTACATTCCAAGTTTATTTTAAAAATGGACTATATGCATGCAACAGAAACTTTACATTTCCTATTAAAAATAGATGTATATTTTGAAAAGACACAAAGCACGTAACGAATGTAAATTGACACACCATCCCTGAACATCCAAAACTGACCTGAAGGGTACCTAGAGGGTAGTTTGACATGTAAGGCCACTGATAAAGCTTTGGTATTTGACAAATTAGGAGTCAGAATGTGTTGTTTTTACACAGGCAACTGTGATATCCCTTGGTTGTGGTCTTGACTGGTCTTGAAGTAAAATCCCAAGTCCTCTGAGACTTAGACAAGACTGAGTAAAAATGCAGTCGAGTCTGAGACAGGACCAAAACCTTTAAAAAAGTGGTCTTGAGACTGAGACTAATCTTGTCACTCAGTATACTGCCAGGTAGCCAGGTAAATACAGTACACAAGTGGCATTAGAAGGGTTGCACACTCCTGGTTTAGTAGCCACCTGTAAAGTTGGAATCAGTATGGTCAAATAAATAACATTAATTCAATATTGTTGAAGATTACTTGCGGAGTTCCTCAAGGCTCATTGTTAGGCCCATTATTGTTTATTTTGTATGTGAATTGTGTTTGTTTTTATGATATATTATAGGTTTCCAAAACATTCAAACATACAGTACAGGCCAAAAGTTTGGACACACCTTCTCATTCAATGCGTTTTCTTTATTTTCATGACTATTTACATTGTAGATTCTCACTGAAGGCATCAAAACTATGAATGAACACATGTGGAGTTATGTACTTAACAAAAAAAGGTGAAATAACTGAAAACATGTTTTATATTCTAGTTTCTTCAAAATAGCCACCCTTTGCTCTGATTACTGCTTTGCACACTCTTGGCATTCTCTCCATGAGCTTCAAGAGGTAGTCACCTGAAATGGTTTTCCAACAGTCTTGAAGGAGTTCCCAGAGGTGTTTAGCACTTGTTGGCCCCTTTGCCTTCACTCTGCGGTCCAGCTCACCCCAAACCATCTGGATTGGGTTCAGGTCCGGTGACTGTGGAGGCCAGGTCATCTGCCGCAGCACTCCATCACTCTCCTTCTTGGTCAAATAGCCCTTACACAGCCTGGAGGTGTGTTTGGGGTCATTGTCCTGTTGAAAAATAAATGATCGTCCAACTAAACGCAAACCGGATGGGATGGCATGTCGCTGCAGGATGCTGTGGTAGCCATGCTGGTTCAGTGTGCCTTCAATTTTGAATAAATCCCCAACAGTGTCACCAGCAAAACACCCCCACACCATCACACCTCCTCCTCCATGCTTCACAGTGGGAACCAGGCATGTGGAATCCATCTGTTCACCTTTTCTGCGTCTCACAAAGACACGGCGGTTGGAACCAAAGATCTCAAATTTGGACTCATCAGACCAAAGCACAGATTTCCACTGGTCTAATGTCCATTCCTTGTGTTTCTTGGCCCAAACAAATCTCTTCTGCTTGTTGCCTCTCCTTAGCAGTGGTTTCCTAGCAGCTATTTGACCATGAAGGCCTGATTGGCGCAGTCTCCTCTTAACAGTTGTTCTAGAGATGGGTCTGCTGCTAGAACTCTGTGTGGCATTCATCTGGTCTCTGATCTGAGCTGCTGTTAACTTGTGATTTCTGAGGCTGGTGACTCAGATGAACTTATCCTCAGAAGCAGAGGTGACTCTTGGTCTTCCTTTCCTGGGTCGGTCCTCATGTGTGCCAGTTTCGTTGTAGCGCTTGATGGTTTTTGCGACTCCACTTGGGGACACAAAGTTTTTGCAATTTTCCGGACTGACTGACCTTCATTTCTTAAAGTAATGATGGCCACTCGTTTTTCTTTAGTTAGCTGATTGGTTCTTGCCATAATATGAATTTTAACAGTTGTCCAATAGGGCTGTCGGCTGTGTATTAACCTGACTTCTGCACAACACAACTGATGGTCCCAACCCCATTGATAAAGCAAGAAATTTCACTAATTAACCCTGATAAGGCACACCTGTGAAGTGGAAACCATTTCAGGTGACTACCTCTTGAAGCTCATGGAGAGAATGCCAAGAGTGTGCAAAGCAGTAATCAGAGCAAAGGGTGGCTATTTTGAAGAAACTAGAATATAAAACATGTTTTCCGTTATTTCACCTTTTTTTGTTAAGTACATAACTCCGCATGTGTTCATTCATAGTTTTGATGCCTTCAGTGAGAATCTACAATGTAAATAGTCATGAAAATAAAGAAAACGCATTGAATGAGAAGGTGTGTCCAAACTTTTGGCCTGTACTGTATCTTATTTGCAAATAATTTGTTTTGGTTTGTGAATAATTTGAAAAAAACTTTTTGATACTGCGGAAAGGGAACTGAAACTTCTAAAGAGTTGGCTCAATTAGCAAACTATACCAGAATTTAAACAACATAGAATTCATCATCTTTGGCAATCATTTGACAAATTTTCACAGAAAAGAGATAATGGGTGATGTTAAAATTCAGCTGAATCTAGGTTATACATGGCAAAGCGAAATTGATAAACCCTTCTTACTTAAAAAGAGAGCCATAAAAATTGTAAACCAAACTATTTTTCAAGAACCAACTAACCTCATGCTTCCACAAAGGCTCCTTCATTCAGAGCTTTGTCATTTTTTAACAACACAAATCATGTATAACATCAAAAACACAGTCGTACATGAACATATCCCAAACGTATTTAAAATAAGCGAAAGTCAATATTATTTAAGAGGAATCTGTATGTTTATTTATGGAACAGCTGCATTGAGGAACTGAGAATGTGCGGCACTTTGCATAAGTTTAAGAAACAGAATTTTATGTACAAATCTAAAAATGTATGAGAATGGCAGGTTCAGGTTTTTATACTACACTATAAAGAAATATATTTTTGTTGATGCATTATTTTCTGTTGTACAGCTATAACACCCCCACTGCAATACTTGCATTTGTAATAACGTAAGGTCAAAAGACAACACAATGCTTAAAAAGGGTTAAAACATGCTAGGGAGGAAGGTGCCGATACAGTCTATCCTGTCACACAGCCAAAATAATTATATTTCAAATTCAAATACCACATCTGGTTAGTTTCAACTGTACTGTCTCTGTATGTATGCAGTTTCACAATATACCTGATTTACAAAAACAGTGATCATTTTAATGACTGGTCCACCAGCATTTTGGGTCCTGATTTGGCCTCTGTAGAGCTTTTGTATTACCAAAGTGCTAATTTTACAAATGCTGCTAATTACAAGCCATCATTGCAGCGGGGCTTGTTTTGTAATCCTTAAATCCAGAATTGGCAGGACATAACTGGACTATGGTCAATCCCATGTCATTTACAATCCAATGTGACATAATGTACTTTAAGAACTAGGAGCACATTTTTAAATAGCTTTAGTAAAAATCATGTTTTGAATGTTTGTAGTTGTTTTTATAAACCTTTCTGGGGCTTCAAAAAGGTTGGAATAAAAGTGTTAAGGTTTATTTGCATCAATTCTTTACATTGACTAACATTTAATCAGTCCCACTATAAATATTTGACAGGAGTATTTTTTTTTTCAATTCACTGAACACTTCCCAGTAACATTTCTGCAGCAGCAATCGCCACTTTTACAACTTAATGAACTTCTGTACCAGTCAATTTATTTGTTGTTTCTGTTGACGTAATTGCTTCCACTATTTTAGGAAGTTGAGGGTCACATGTCTGAGAAACAACTCACTGAGCCCCCTTTGCGTACTGTTATAAAACAGGGGAATTTGGTATGTAATGGTTTTCCAATCCTTCTTAATGAGGATCAAGGGTTGTTGTGCAGGATTCTGGAGTTAAAGACTCAAACAAACACTGGTGGCCACTCAGAACTTAGCAGTGCCTCAGACAGGGAGGACTGTACACTTCAAGGCTCTGTAAGTCAGATGATAAACACTCATGGAATATTTAAATTTGAATAGGGAAGAGATGTGATTTGTTAAATTCGTCATAGCTGTGCAGTTTTTCACCAGCTGACGTGCACTGACACTAACTCGTCTTCTCTCTACCTACAGGAACGGTGCACCTGGAAAATGCAGTTTCGGTAAAGCCCATTCAAGGTAAATCACTGCATCTGGTTATTCATCACTGAGGGGAAAGAAGGAACTCATCAGCTTCACAGTTGGAGGAAGGACAGCCCAAAGCTTCCCTCTTTGTCCAGAGTTCTCTCTGTCCGAACAATGTCAACTGCCACTGCGGACAGTGTAGGAAGAGGAACCAAAACCTCTAAAGCATCAAAGGATCATAAAAAGGTAGGCGGATGTAATTATTGATTTATGTCGCCTACTACTTTCCAAGGAAGAGAAGATCTCAAACATCCTCTGTTTTGAAGACAGAGACACCCACTACTACAGAATAATTACTGATATCAGAACTGAAAATAAAACTGATGAACTCATTGGACTGGACTCATCTACCTCATAAAAACACAGAGGATGTATATTTTGAAGACTTCCTAATTCTTGTGAATAAAACCTCTCAGTATTTTTCATACTTTAAGACAAGAAAACCACATTGGCACCGTTTTTTGTTTAGAAATGTTGGGTGTTAGTGTGCTGCTGTCAATCAGTCAGAATCTAAGAGGTGATAAAATCCAACCAAAATGGAAATGAAGATGTAAATGTCAGTTTCAGTAAAACAAAGAGCAACACCATACCTGCAGCTGAGTGATGTTTTTGTCACTCAGCTGTGTTATGTAACAGCTTTTTAATGATGGAGGGAACAGAGTGGTCGTGAACAAGGCGATTAGGTTGACCAGCCTCAGTTTTTGTGTTGCGGAGACATTTCACTTACAGGAAAATTCCTAGATACCTTCAATGACCTCATGCTTTACTCAGGAGTCTCACTGCCGTCAAAACTGTTTGTTTTAAAGGGTTGATTTTAACGATTATCCGTCATCAATAAATTAATTGCTCAATTATCACAAACAGTTTTAATTTAGCCCTCGGGATGTCAATGATAGACTATTTTGGTTGCTTACTCATCACTCCATTCTTTATGATTTGTTGGATTGGAAGTCATTGACTACTGGCAGACAACAGCACTGGTATATTTTTATCCATAAAGCAATACTGGGCAAACTTCCAGCCTTCCTCTGCACCCTTCTGTGTGTCAGCTCTGATAGTAACCAGCTATGCACATGACTAACATGACATTTTGTATATTCATGGTACCCAGAGGCTGAAAGCTGGACAGTCTCGTGACTTACCATGTCACACTCAGCTGTAGCCTGCTTTGTGTTATGTGCTAGTGCATATGTTAGCATGCTAACACTAGGGCTGCCACTAACGATTATTTTCATTGTTGACTAATCTGTCGATTATTTCTTCGATTAGTCGACTAATCATTTCATCGAAAAATGTGTTAAAATGATGAAAAATGTCGGTCTGTCTCTCCCAAACCCCAAAATTATGTCATCTAATGTCTTGTTTCATACTCACGCCAAAGGGTTTTAGTTCACTGTCACGGGAGAGTGTGTAAAGCTGCCAATATTTCAACATAAGAAGCTGCAATAAGAGTATTTTGGGGTACTTTTATAGAACTTTTCTATGAAAAGTACTATAGTCGACTACTAAAATAGTCACTGATTATTTTAATAGTCGATTAGTCATCGATTAGTCGACTAATCGTGGCAGCCCTAGCTAACACACTAAGATGGTGACCCATGTTTGTTATACCTGCTTAGCATCAGCATGTTTGTGTTTTCCCTGTGAACATGTTAGTGTGCTGATGTATGGGTGAGACATGTGACCTTCTGCAGGGAACAGCTTGTAAGATGTGATATTTCATTAACAGTTTTCCTCATATTTGTACAGTGAGGCATTGTGACCTTTCCTTTGACTGGACGAGTCTGTGTGTGCTGTGTTACCTTTTAATTTACAATCACAAATGTACTAATAACTGTGCATTCAACATGCCTGTGGGGAGGATCATTTTTCAAACACATGTTGTTGTCAATTAACACTCAGCAAGTTAGTATATAGCCCACCAGTTAAGCAAGTTAGCATGTTAACATTTGCTAGTTATTGACTTGATGATGGCACAAGAAGAAAAGTTAAGGGATTAGCTGAAATACAGTTCATCAAGAGAGGAACGTGAATGTGTTTCCCAGATGCCATGGAAATCTAGCCAACAGTGTGGAGGCATTTCCAAAATAATAATAATAATGATAATAATAAACTTTATATAGCATCTTTCATACAAGAAATGCAGCATAAAGTGCTTTACAATAAGGGCAGTATAAGCACTGAGTGCTTCACATGAAAAAAGACAGAATGAACATAAAACAGACAAAGCAATTCAATATAAAAGGACATTTAAAGCAGTTTAAAACATGGATTAACTGATTCATAAAATTATAGAGTTGTAAAACTATAAATCATAAATCAAGTAAAAGAGTTGCAGCAGCGTAAATAGAAAGTAAAAGTGTAAAAAGAGAGTTTCAGACCTGTATCAGGCAGTCAGAGCTATTTAAAGGCTAAAATGAACAGATACATTTTTAGCTTTCTTTTCAAAATATTTAGCGAGCTAGCTTCATTGATATCTATAGGTTGTGTGTTCCATAGCTTTGGAGCGTCATTGAAAATAAAGATGTCAACCTCATGGTGGCACAGGAGGAAAAATTCAGAAAATAACCACAAGTCAGTGAGATTCATCCTCTGGGGACTTGAATGTCTGTAAAATATTTAATGGCAATCCATTCAGCTGTAGCTTAGCTCGACTGACTGATCTTCTGGATGGACCAAGTGATCGACATTGCCATCCCATGATCCACACTGCTTGTTGAAAACTAATTGATACATTTCAATAGAATTTGGTGAAAGTCTAGTGAATCGTTAATAGATGAATTAGTTCATTAATTTGTTTTTTAACAAGTGTTTTCTCCTTCTCCTTCTTTGGTTTGTCAGCCCACAGCGGCTGCCCTGAAAGGAGCCATCCAGCTGGGCATCGGTTACGCTGTGGGAAACCTCAGCTCCAAACCCGACAGAGATGTTCTCATGCAGGACTTCTCTGTAGTGGAGAGCGTTTTCCTGCCCAGGTATAGTCTCTCATTTCATCTCATTTTTTTCTTGACATGTGGTGTATGTGCATAATCAATGTCAAGTTCCAATAAGGATCAGTTCACCCCAATTACAAAATGATTTACTATTTTTCCCCCTCCCTTTGGTGGCATCTATCAAATAGTTTGGTTTTATTCGGTAAGATTTTAAAATATCTGTCTCCATGTCCACCCCATAGACTGCATAGAGCAAAGCCAATATAAGTTTAGTTATAAATAGTTAAAGGAGTTTGACATCAGCTGTGTGCCAGTCAGTGTGCTTGCACGCATTGGCAGGAACTTGATACCACAAATATCTCTACTGCGCAGACTCAAAATGACATCACAAGCGCAAGATGGCAGTGGTCATATGCAGGATGTATTGGCTTCAGTTTTGTACAGTAGGAGGAAGTGAAGATGTGTTGTCTATCTGTATATACAGTCTGTGGTACACCCAAATGAAATGCAGGGTAAAGTTACTGTGTTTGAACTGCTGAAAGAATTGAAACTTGGCTGCCTGAGTGTAACGTAATCGCTCTGTCTCTAATGTCATTTCTTACACTTTTCATGCCCCTCAAAAAACAGTGCTTGTTAATGCTAATTAATATTATCAAATATGTAACATAGTTTTTGCTCTAAAAACACAGATGTGGCAGCATATAGGTTTATATTAATATTAAGACAAATAGGGAAGTCACTTTCGGAAGTTTACAACCTGTTTAGCTGTGGTTTAGTCGGAAACCACACGTTTCAGCAATCGTCTTTTTCCACAGCAGATATTTTGACATCATGGAAATCCACAGGTGTTACCAAAAACATTAACAATGGCTTCATTCTATTCAAATGTCCCAGGACCCTGAAATGGAGCAGCAAATTGGTATTCAGCCATAATTCATATTATGTATGCCTGTTTTTCCTGTTGTGACAAGTTAAAATGTTTTATGTGAAAAAGGCCAACAGGATGGTGCAAACAGCTGCTGTTTCTGTTCTATCCTAACTTCAATACATTTTGTTTGTTCTCCAGCGAGGGCAGCAATCTGACACCAGCCCATCACTACCCAGATTTCCGTCTGAAAACGTACGCACCGCTGGCCTTTCGCTACTTCAGAGAGCTGTTTGGCATCAAACCAGACGACTATCTGGTCAGTGTGGAAATTCACATCGTCATTCTGATTCAGCACAATATGGTGGAAGTTGATGTGGTGGGTTGAATGAAACACTTTGTCACGTCAAGACTGTTACGTCATTCTGAATTTCAGTACTCCATCTGTAACGAGCCTCTGATCGAGCTGTCCAACCCCGGAGCCAGCAGTTCCTGGTTCTACCTCACCAGCGATGATGAGTTCATCATTAAGACGGTGCAGCCTAAAGAGGCCGAGTTCCTGCAGAAGCTTCTTCCTGGTTACTATATGGTGAGCTCCTTCCTCCAAAATAAACTGTCACTATGTTTACATGCACACATTTTGGTGCATGTGCTTCTTCTTGCACAGTGCAAACAAAACAGGGATGTACTTGTAAACGCATAGCTGCCACTAGTGTTATTATTACATGGTACATTATTACCTCCGCCAAGGAGGTTATGTTTTCGCCAGCGTTGGTCTGTTTGTCTGTTTGTTTGTGTTTGTCTGCAAATAACTCAAAAAGTTATAAACGGATTTTGATGAAATTTTCAGGAAAGATGCATAATGGGACAAGGAACACATGATAAAATTGGTGGTGATCGGTTGAAGCAAAGTGGATAAAATAATAAAATAGTGCTAAATAGCACAGTGTATTCACCGAGTTTTAGAATACACTCATTCCATGACCAGACGTGCGCCACCGGTTTGCAGTGGTGAGTAGGCCTACTTAGGCTCATCAGGAATACATAATGTCTATCGTCTGACTGAATGGGGGATTTCCTGACTCAGTGACACAGTATGTACAAGATGCTGCTGTTCATTAAAACTGCCTCCCAACTTGATGTCTGGGCGGGGCTAACGTGGAAACCTGTGTCTGGGTGGCAGAAGAGTAAAGGCTGGATTCTCACTGCTTACCTCTTGCTCGCCTGCGTCCCAAAAGCGTCCCAGAAGCGGCTCAGAAGCAACGCAGTTTTTGTTGGCATTCTCACCAGACACGTCGCATTTCAGTGCGCAAGCTCCAGCGCCATAGGGAAAACACATGCAAACGCTTCCAAGACGCGCACCTCACACGAAAAAAATAGGATTCTATAAATAACCTAATTGTGATGCAGGCTGCAAAATCTGATGCAGAGGGGGAGGGAATATCACCTACTTGGCAGAGGTCTGCACTCTCTGAGTGTTTTTTTTTTACCATGTTTTTACGTGTTTGTACCCGAAGCTTGGTCAAAAATACAAGATACCTTTTAAGTAAAAGATACAGTTCAGATAGAAATCCTCCACTTTTACTCCCACCCACAAAACAAACTTTCGTTTGGCTTGTATTTGTTCTTGGATGTCAATAAAAACAGCTCTGGTGGTCTTTCTGAAGAGTTTCTTGATAGAGTGTTAGTGCCTTTTGGTATGACAGTTTTTGGGTACGACTATCCAGTAGTCAAATCTGACATGCCTCATTTACTTTATGTTGGCAGAACAAAACAAAATTTGAAAACACAGATTTGTGAACATAATTTTACTCTGAATTATACAGAGATAGAATGGTTATTAATTTAAGTTGTAGTTTATATTTTTGTCTACTTCTAATTAAGCCAGTATTTTTCATAGACCCACACGCACACCTTAAAACTATTCTGCATATAATCCTGGAAAAAAATCTGCTTTGTCTTTGTTGTAGAATCTGAATCAGAACCCAAGGACGCTGCTGCCCAAGTTCTATGGCCTTTACTGCATCCAGTGCAGCGGTGCCAACATCCGCGTGGTGGTGATGAACAACGTGCTGCCGCGCGCCATGAAGATGCACTATAAGTACGACCTGAAGGGTTCTTCGTACAAACGCCGTGCCTCACGCAAAGAGCGTGGCAAACCTTCACCCACATTCAAAGACCTGGACTTCCAGGAGATGCACGAGGGCCTGCTCTTCGACCCGGACACCTACAGTGCCCTGATGAAAACCCTGCAGAGGGACTGTCGGGTGTGTTCACACAGTTGTAACTGCTTTTTTTATTTTCAGTTTTTTAAAAAATATGATTTAATTTACAATGATGCAAAACAGAAAACAGCGACAAATTCTTACATTTCAGAAACTGAAACCAGAGAATGGGCGAAATAGCCAAAATTACATAGGCCATATATCAGCACTTGGTTTTTCAATTTATCACCTGTTCATTTGAGCAAGAATATTACTCACAGTTGGTTTAAATCTTTCCTCAACACAGCCTGAACTGAATCCAGACAGTAATCACAGCACCACTCGGCCCATTAGATAACATTATGCAATCACCAAAGCCCACTTCTATGAGCCACCCTCCCTCTGCCAGGACCGAGGTGTTATGATGGCCTCGTTAGCGCCTGCCTGTTATTTCATTAGTGTGAAACAACAGTGGCCACTTGATGGAGGATTAATTCCCAGCAGAGCGAAGCACCTGACTCATATGATCAGGCTGAGCAGCTGGACTGTGGAGCACAAACTGGTCCATCTGGGTGTAACATGCTCTCAGTGCACAAGCTCAGTTAGTGTGTTAGGTAACACAGTGGAAAGCAAAGGTTTCTTTGTTCTCAGGAGTTAGTTCATGACATCAGTGTTTGGTCAGAGGGATTGAGGCTTATGCTGTACTGTATTTATAGTTTGCAGATCAAGATTTAGCCCCTTTAACTGCGACCCACTTAGGTGTAGGAGAGGTTAATTTACAGCTTAGTTAAAGGAGTTGTATGCGACATTCAGCTCATATCTTTGATTCAGTGTCTGGGCCAGGATTGTCTGCACACAGCTCTCAACATGGAGGTGGCTGAGCCGGCAGCTAGCGGCTAACAGTGCTGACCACAGCAACAATGCTGACAGAGCTTACTGTGTTTATGTGGGAAGGAACCAAAGGGTGGGTGCTATGTTTCTACGCTGACAACGCCCTGTTATATGCTGTAACTTACGTGCTTACGTGCACTGTGCAGAGCAGTGGCGATGAGCTAGCCAGTGTGGTACACACACACACACAGGGCGGAAGGATCTCAGAATACCAAAAAAATAAACATTAAAATGGCATTCATGAATTTTATTAAGACTTGTTTTTCAATGAATTTCTTAGTTCAATTGCTTCTGCTAAATGCTTGAGTTGCTTACGTCCAGTTTCCATCTCTCATCAGGTCCTGGAGAGCTTTAAGATCATGGACTACAGTCTCCTGCTGGGGATTCATGTTTTGGACCGGAAGCCGCTGAGCAGAGGAAACCGATGTGACAGCAGGAAAGGACAGAAAGTCCTCTACTCCACTGCCCTCGAGTCCATCCAGGGGAACGTGAAGGCTCCTGAACCGGTGGCTGATGACGATGAAACGTGAGCATATTTTCTGCATTTTTTTCCTTTGCACTCATTTTGGCTTTGCAGGGCATGTAATATGGAAAACACAGTTTAAACAGCACATTTCACAGCTTGGTTTCCTATTAGAGTTGTTTTTGAAGCTTTATGAGAGGAGGTCATTACTGTATGTAATATGAAGACAGTTAGCGTTTGGCTATGGTCAGCTTTTTATGCTTACATATGGTCGCCAAGTGTTTAACAGTGTGGAGTGATGGCTTTAATATGATTAAATAACTCTTTGTCCGAGGTCTGTCTGTGTTTTTCTTCTCTATCCTGCACTTCCTCTTTTTAGTTTAAAGTCTCTTCTTTTGCTTTGTCTTCGGCCCTCTTACACAAGCTGTTTTCCCACAAGCAAAAACTGTTGTGAAATTTTGCACAGTGGTGTGATCTGGTCCAAATGACTCATTATACTAGGGTGATAATTTTCCTGATAGTGGCACTATAGCAAAATCAAAGGTGCTTTATTCTGTGTTATTCACATCCTTTTTTTTTCAGACTGGGTGGAATTCCTGCCAAACATAAAGACGAGAACCTTCTGATCTTTTTAGGAATCATTGACATCCTTCAGTCCTACAGGTGAGCTCACAGTATCACACACAAACATATGCACATTTAGTGTATATTGTGTATTTTATAGTGTAAATTTAAACAGAACAGTTTTAGAAATTTATTTGTGCCAACCTCAATTAAGATTTTAAATAATGTTGCTTGATGCTTATGGGTTGTGTTGTACTTTGCTTATGGTGTTGGTGGTATGTGCAATACATGAATAACTGATGTGCAATACTGTTATGTGTAGTATGTGTTTTTATGTTTTTTTAATGTTTTTATGGTGTATGATTTTTATTTCCTCTGAACTGTTATTGTAAGGCAGCAATACTTGTGCAGCTCCTGAGTCCAAGATCGTATCGTAGTGTATTGTATCGTATCATATCGTAATGAGGTTTTGGTTTCACTGTTAATAGTTCTGCTTACTGTTGTTGCATGTTGAATGCATCAACAATCCATAACCAGTGGACATGGTTAGGAGAAGATCATGTTTTGGCTTAAAACACCAATGACTGGTGCCACAAAAGACACTGGAAACACAGCAACAGGTCACTAAAAAACACTTATGTTAGGCATTAGGTCACTAAAAAACACATGAGGTGGCACAAACAATGCTGGAAATGCAGCAAAGGGCGTCAAAAAACATCTATGTTTAGACACACAAATGCAGCAATGGGTCAGCAACAAACACTCACAGCACAAATGCCGCTGGAAACATAGTGACAGGTTGCTAAAAAATACCCACGTTTGGTGACACAAACTAGACTAAAAATGTAGCAATAGGTCGCTTAAAAACACCCATTTGGTGGCAGAAAAGCCACTGGACATGCAGCAATGGTTTGATAAAAATACCCACGTTTGGTTACATAAAGGCCACTGGTAATGCAGCAATGGGCCGCTCAAAATACTCATGTTAAAGGGCACACATGCAGCTGGAAGCACAGCGGTGGGTCACCAAAAAACACCCTTGTTTGGTAGCAAAAACACCTCTTGAAAACACAGTGACAGGTCGCTAAATACACCCTTGTTTGGTGAAACAAACCCGCAGGAAATGCAGCAATGGGCTGCATTTTCCATCTCATCTTTTCTGTTCATTTACATTTCACGATCACTTAAGTTTTAATTTATTTAACTGATAAATGTATCCACTAATTTTGATTCATTGAAAATGTCTAGTCTAATGTCGAGTATAGAGTGAATAACCAAGCTCTAGACTGTATGATTATTATAATTAAACAGGTGACGAATGACATTCATTTTTATTTTTACTTCTTATTTTCAGGTTCATCAAGAAGGTTGAACACTCCTGGAAAGCTCTTGTGCATGATGGGGTACGTATGTACTGCAGGTTTTTATGTCCAACCACATGCATCTGCACAAGTATATGAGTGTGTGAGTGTCTAATATCATTCTCTGCTTCTCAGGACACAGTGTCGGTTCACAGGCCCAGTTTTTACGCGGACAGATTTCTGAAGTTCATGGGGATGACTGTATTTAAAAAGCTCCATCGTAAGTCACTGAGATTATTCAGAACCCTGCATTAACCGTGAGATTAGTGAGCTTCTCTTTTAAAGTCACTCTGTCTTTGTGCCTCTCAGCTTTAAGAGGAACATCTTCAAAGAGGAAGAGGAGTTCCCTTTATGCAGTGAAATCAGCCTCTCAGGAGTTTCTGTCACCACAGAAGGAGGAGAAGAAGGAGGAGAAGAAGGCCCAGAGCATGGACAACCTGGATGGAAACTGTAAGCTTAAAGAATGCACTTAACATGATGTTCTAGCAATCATTTTTTTGTCATGGTTTTTAGGAGAGACTTTGCTTGATTCACTTATCGGTGATCTGCTTGTTACAACAGTTTACAGTTCCTCCAAACAGCCGGATCTCCTTCCGAAAGTTTCTTTCCAGGGGATCCAAAAAGACGAGGACGATCTTGAAAACAGGTATTTTACGCGAGCAGCTCTCACATCTAAGTTCTGTATCCTTAACAAGTCTGCTCACCACAAAGTTTAACAAGTAATGATTGTTTGATTGCTTCACACTTACAAAAAGGATGATACAAGGTAATGAACTGACAAGATGTTCAATATAAAAAGATATTGGTTTTTTAATTCAAGTCAAAATGCATTTTAAATGAAAAAATATATGTACTGGGAGAATCTGAACAGTGTGGGCTTCATTTTTCTTTTTGTTTCATTTAGAAAATCAATCTTTATTTATTTATTTTAATTTATTTTATTTCATTGCTGATCCCAAAGTCGAGACCCATAAGAAAAATGATAGCATTAAAATTAAGATAAGCTAAGATAAGATGACCCATTATTCATCCCAGCAAGGAACAAACAGGAAGCATCGGTAGGAAAAAAATACAAAGCAATATATATGTAAGTAAAATAAATAAACTGCAAAAATAAAAAGCTTCATAATGAGCAAACAGTATAAAAACACAAAGCAATATAATAGGTAAGCGTCAAAAAGAAAAGGTGGAATATAATAAAGAGAAATACTGAATGGCTGATTTCACATTATTGACCAATGGACACACAGATAGTGTTAAAATTAACACTTAACAAGAGCCTATATTTACATTTTTCTGTCAAGCAAAATGCAGGGAAGAGAAATTTAGTGTATTCACTTGTATTTTATGTTGCAGTGAAGACCGACGAGCCTCCAGTTCAACAATCGCTCTGGACGACCCTCTGCCGTCTCTCAGCAGGAGCACATCAGACTCTGAGCTGGACGTCTACTTGGTATGAAATGTTTACTGTATACAATTTGACAAGGAAAAAAAATATGATATTATTGTCAACAAATCCCATGAAAAGACTAAAATCAACAGTGTGCTAATTTGTCTGTCAATATTGTTTGATATTCCTACCCTGTCCGTAGCTCTGAGCCCCATGAAAATTATAGAATATCACCAACTTTATCCTTTAATTACTTCAATTAATTATATGTATACCAGTTTGTCCAAATATACCTCTCTTTAGGCTTTAATATCTATAGCGTGACACAAAGACTGGAAGCAAGGAGAAAACCGTTAACTTGGCTCCCCCTACAGGCCAAAAAAATCTGCCTACCAGCAACTCTAAAGTTCACAAATTATATCTCATCTGCCTGACAACGTGGTGATGATGAGACTTAAGGTAGTCACTGCACCTGCCAAGACATCGGGTGCTTTTCATTACGCTAACATACTTCCTGGGGTCCTTGCTCCTCCTCCATTTTAAAAATTGTTCCCCTTCCACTATCAGGAGCAAGGAGAGAGGAGTCTTCTGGAGGAGCTTAAAGCAAGAAATCACAGCTGTACCCTATGTGGAAGAGTTTTATCAAGTGGTCACATCTCCACATGTGGCACAGTAACTGATGTCACTGAACACTGAAGCTATGAAACCAAGAATTTGTCTTTGCTGTCTCTTTCTCACAATCCATGAGGTGGATATCAGACGCAAGGCAGAGACGCAAGTGAGGGGAGCAACGAGACACGTTAGCATTATAAAAGGCAGTATTTAACCACAACTTGCCACTTTACACTGTTTTTTGTTGATATATTGTGTTAATGGTGAGCTTTAGAGGTGCTGATAGGTGGATTGTGTTGCCTTTGGACAGAGCTAGGCTAGCTGTTTCCCTCTGTTCCCAGTCTTTTTTGTAAGCTAAGCTAACTAGCTTCTGGCTGGCTGTAGCTTTGGTATCTAAACGTGAGAGTGGTATCAATTTCCTCATCTAACTCTGGTCAGGAAGGGCTCTTAATTACTCTGCAATTCTCAAACAGTTGGGTTATTCTTAACATATTAAGACTTTTCTTTCAAACTATTACTTTTTTATATATATTCCCAGCCAATATTTGCATGTGGGGCCAACATGGGTTGTAAATGGGCTGAAAGATGGGTCCTGAATGGGACTGTTAGGAGGTTCCACATTGGCTTCATGGTAATTGCCCACATAGGTGGGTTTACCCAAGTGGGCCCCACAAGAGTTATGCTAGGGCTACCTAGGTACTAAGTGGGTATGGGCCCGAATTGGGCATCTTATGTGGCATCCACTTGGGTAAACCAACCCATGTGGGCAAATGGCATGGGGCCAATGTGGAACCTGGAGAAAATCCCATATAGGGCCCATTTACTGCCCATGTGGGCCCCACATACAAACGTTGGCTAGGTTACAACAATATTCCTGATGCTTTCATGCGTTTATTCGGCATGAAATTAGAGCTTTTACCTGTTTATGACTGTTTTCTCAAAAACAGTGGGCCTAATATTTTGTTGTGTTGACGTATATGGGGACATTGTCACGATGAATCCAGGGGTCACTGGGTGTTTCTGCATTTTCAGCATCACAAAGTCTCACCCAGGCGACCCAGCTGGAGTTGATCAGTGCTTTGTGTCCCCGCATCCATAAACTGTAAGCAGCAAAAGACATCCATAGACTGTTCTATTGATTTTTTTGTTGATTTTCTCTTTTGGACAAACCACTGTGTCTGTGGCCAATGTCAGCTCCATCAACAAAAAGCCACGCTGTCCTTACGATGACTCAGTTTTGCCTCACAAAAACCTTAACAGAAACATGTAGCCTAAGTGAATATGTTATCCAGGAGAGCTTATACGCATTACTTGCTTCCATCTTACCGCCACTAATTTTTGCTGTTAATCCAACACGCAACTTCTCACATTTCCGAGAACTTTCGTCTTTGCTGGTTGTAGCTCTGAGGTCCTAGAGGCCCCACTGGCATCCTGTGACGTCTATACTGCGTGACTGAGCCGAGTCCAGTCTGCTGCAACCCCCCTCAGCCCTTACATCTGTATCAGCCTGAGAAACCTCCATGAATCCCCTCTTCTGCAGCACTTCTCTTACATAACCACCAAATCCTCATTCAGGCTTATATGAAGCTGTTCTTCAGACCACATTAAGCAGTTCTACTCAGGCTCTGTGGGAAGCCTGCAGACGTCGGAGTTAATCTGATCCCAAAGCCTCTGACAGAAGACAGAGGGATTCAAATATTATAGCGAGGGTGAAAGTGAACTTTAGGATTTCTCTGACAGACATTTGTCTCTTGACTCGCTCAGAGAGATGATCTGCACACTCCCAGCTCTTTTAAAACTTTACACAAAAAGGACCATTACAAGGTTTTTGCACTCGCTGTCTTAATGTTTTCAATATTGGGATATCTATTTCAGTAAGGTTTGAAAACAACATGTAGACACATAAAACTTGTTGAGCATTAAAATATATTAAATGTTCCCTTTGATGGACAGCATCACCGTCTATGGAAACCATTTGCTGCCTGAAGGTAAAAAAAAATACAAACAAAAATATGAAACACACATGAAATAGTGAGGCAGTCCACACACTGAATACACCAGGCATCCAAAAGCTTAAAAAGGCAACACTTAGACAAGGTCTTCATCAGGCAAACATCCATGTGAAGAATCCCCAAAGTAATCCGCTGTGCACAGAAATACAGACAGTAATCAATAAGCTAAAATAAGTTGAACCCTATAGAGGATATACAGGTGTAAACCATAGACTGTATAAAATAATGAACGTAGTCATCAAGTTGTTACCAATTGGTTTTTGGAGCCAGAAGTGATTATATTAGAACAAGAGTGTCATTACGAGGCTATGGTTATCATGGTGTGGTGATAATGCTAATGCTAATGTTAATATTCGCTAGCCAACTACAGGCTTGAAACCATTAAAACAATGCTGAACAACACTTCTTTAAATAGCAACAGCTACACCTTCATGAATCTGGAGTAACGCCATGGTTATGTTGTCTGACCAACGTTGTCGCCATAGTGGCGACTTGTCCCATCCCCCTGCTGGGTACAGATGTCATGAAAGGGAATATAAGCTACAGAGACCAAAACTGTTTCCTTGTACCTTTTTTGTTGCTGTGCCTTTTGTACCTTTCTCTCAGAGCTTGCCTCAAGTGGGCATTCAAGGAGCTGCAGTTTTTGGCACTTCCATGTTAGCCTGATTTTTTAGCCCTAGAGATTGTCACTTGGTGTAAACACACATTTTTAGAAATGTAGGAACAAAACGTACAATATTTGGCACCTGGAGAGACATCCCATCACTTATTATTTCTTCTTCTTCTTCATTTTTATTAAAGCCTATGTTTTCTTAATGGATTACAAAGATGGTTAGAATGTTGCCTCATTAAGGGAGCATTTGCTTTACTGTAAGATCAGTGTGTTTCAGCTTGCTGCCTTCATCCCTGTCCACACTGGACTTCTGCACAGAACTAAAACCGAGGCCTAAACCTTCCTTTTTAAGACCTGACCATAATTTCGACTAAAGAGCCTAAACCTGGCTGCCAAATTTAAGATTCGAATCTGATTCGAAGCCCATTCTTTACCATTAGCATGCTAATGCAGCACATTTTCTGCTGCTTTCGCTCTTCCCACATGGCATTGCATATCTACTTGCAACATATGACACAGTCAAGACTGAGAGATACATTTAAATCGTATTTAGAAACCAAACCTGAGCTGAGCCCTGATACTTTCTCATGTGCCTTGTCTGCTGTTCTGCACCCGTACTCAACCAGGACTGGTTGTGCACACTGTCAACTGTCTTTGCTTGAAATAATTGTGCTGCTTCATAATGCAAAAACAGTTTGATCCAGTTTAACGCCACTTCAAATAGGGTCTCTGGCCCCTGGGCCTGTGCCTGCAGCACAGTCGCTGAAAGAAAATGTTGGCATTGTACATTTCTGCAAACCACAGATACATTTATCTATCAAATTTCATACATATCAACATTTATAAAGTGATGTAGTTCTGATTGCATGTATATGGTGTGATACCTAGGCAAGATGGCTGCCAAACTACAGACCACTGCACAAGACCAGCAAGCAACAAAGCTGTTTGTTGTTAGGAAAACATTGCTGCATTTCCAGGGGCGATTGTGACTCCAAACATGCATATTTTAAGCCAAAATGCAATATTTTCATAACCATAGGCAAGTGGTTTTTGTGCCTAAACATAATCACACATTAACAACAGTATTGTTGAAATGTAAAGAAACATAAAGTTTCACATATGATAACATACAAATGTTACATACCCATGGTTTGCAGAAATGCACAATGCCAACATTTATTATTCCAGTGATTGGGTTGGTGCCGGGTAGACCCGTTCAATCATCCATCTACAGTATGTCTAGTTTATAAATGTTAAAGTTTACAATAGTTTGTTATTCACATGGACACCAAAGGATAACAGTCACAGGAAAAAATAATCTTTTTGTTTTCTAGTGAAGAGAAACAAGTGATGGCTCCTCTCCAGCCACCTGGACGTCAGACCTTTGACCTCCCAGTCCTGCGTGTCAAGATATCAGCACTTCACAACAGTGTTAATGTGACACAAACTGTAAGTAACACATTGATGTCAGCTTCTTCACTGTGAGCATCACTCTGTGCCTCCGAGACTTTCCTTTTTAAGTCAGAGTAAATGTGCCAAATCACTGATTCTTCTGTAGAAATCCCATCATGAACAGATGGGGACACAGTTTGTGTTTGTGTGCGTGAAGATCACTGAACCACTGTGTTAATGTAAAACACTATGGAGCTGTTTGTTTTCCTGTTATCTGCACTTTGCTGCTAATTTAACAACAGTGCTAACAAAAGAAAAATCCTCTTGGATGTCTGAATTATGTGCAAATGTTCAAATGTTCTCAGCGGCTGGATCCCTGAAGAAATAGATTGTCTTGTTGTTTAATCAGCTTCAGGAAAAAATGATGCTGTCATTTTTAAATCATATAATTATACAGAGCCATGTTGAGATCATTCTGGTGTCAGGAATCTGAGTGGAAATTCATCTGTCAAGACATTCAAGTATGCATGAGTGATAGTGTTTATAACCTTATCAACATGATAGAATCCCAATTTACACAAAATAATATATCAATATTATGCTGCACAATTATTTATTCTGTATCTGTGTATTTCTTTTTTCAAACTTCATTTCTGCTGCCACCATTACAAAAAAGTATTTCAGTTCAGTTTCTTGTTATAACAAGATTTTTTTTCATGTTACAATATATTTTTCTATCTTTGACCTTTCATGCATCCCTCTGTCATTTCTCTAGAAAATGTACATTTCATTTTCGCTTGGATTTATTGAAGCAGTCTGTCATGAACAGTTTTGAATCCTGGATGTTAGTCATGAGCACATTGTACGTTATGTCCACCAATGTATGTTCTGTCTTCTCTTTGTGCCTTCAGAAGTTTAAGAATCTGTGCTTTCATGTGATTTATAGGCCTACAACTGTATTATAGCAATACTTTGAACTTGTACATGTGAAATAAATTAATATTTTATGTTCTTAAACAGTCTCTTTTTTCTTGAGAATTTGAATTTCGTGAACATATGTTATACATACAGTGCACATGTAACTGGTGGACTCTAGTGATGTCTGCGTTGTGTTGATATGAAGAGGCCCAGACCGTGGATCTCTTCCGAGGTTAGGCAATCTCCATTTGTTCCTGTGGCAAAGCGGCAAAAACAAAACCTTCTGTCAAACACAGCCATACAAACTGGAGCCCCTACACAAATTAAGTGACACAGGACTATGTTGGGATAAAATGAACTGAGCTTCACGGCGCTAAAACATGGAAATTACCATTAGAGCAATGTGGCTTACCTCTCCCACAGAGCACAACAGCAGAAGGGGAGAGGCAAGGCGGGAGACAGCCCTTTATAGGTGGGATACCCCCAAAGGTGAACGTAGGGGTGCAGTAACTGAGTATCAAATATTCCTCATATTGAATATGGAGGCCTAAGTATTTGACTTGTCACACATATTACTGCTGTATAATTGACCCTGTTACAATCGTCCAATCCATTAAAATCATGTGCTGTGTTTTTCTGACGGTTGCACATTGCAAAACAATGATGTCAAATCGGTGTGTCTACATTTTCGGAAACTTGCAATGAGAATGAGTTATGACAGAAAGAAACAGTCCAAACGTGGTTTCATTTCACAAGATGACAGCAGCAATGACTGTAAGATGATGATTTCAGGTAAGGGTTAAACCTTGGGTTTAAATCAGTGGAATTCCATGTGTTTGACACATGTCTGTTACCGAGTTAAATATCCTGTGTTACAGAAACATTAGTGCAAAGCAGGCAAGCTGAGCAAATTTTTCCTTTGACTAAGAAAACAGTTAAGCAGTGGAGCTTTTGCACACCTGAGTCACTCTGTCTCTACACTGTGTTGATGCTGTAAACCTGTGGAGGCCTACTTTTTTTCCACACAGAAAAGTGATCAATAATTAATAAGGGAATTGATAAAGAATCATACCAATATGCAGAATCGATAGTGGCATTGGTATCAATAAAATCGTATCAATTCCCATCCCTATATACTACATTATAATACACAGAATTGCAAGGATACACTCCTATCAGGTGTCACGTTTTATTTAAACACAAGGGGGTGCAGTGACGATACAATCATACACTGTGTAAAGAGGATACAGTAGATGGTGATGGGAAGGTTTGCCTTTACTTTACACATCTACACATGTGCCCTGTCCACTGCTGCACACTATTAAAGGGTGATCACATGAATCTCTTTGGTCTTTGATTCACAGGCCGACTGTTTCCTTCTGGATAATATCAAGAGATAAAGATAGTTTGTGCATCTAATTTTATAATCTGAATTTATCTGAATGGTTCAAATCAGTTTCTAACATGCAGTAATGTTCTGTTTCTGTCTTCAGCCACTGGTGGTCTTACAGAGCAGAGCGTGAAGCCAACACTGCAGGTTTAAAGGATTTAGGCTAATCTGACTTGGATGAAACATCTGCCGGAGGTGGAAATTAACATTCATTTATTCTCTGTTTTAATGTGTCATTTTGAAGTATTCGAGAATTTACACTTTGTGAAGCAACTGTATGCAAAGCAAACAATAAATATCCATATTTGCTAATGTTACTAAATAATTTGTTCAGGGATTTAATTAATGCATTTGTTTCTCCTCTTATCCATTGTATTTCATCTCATTCATAATGACTTAAAGTCTTCAGGTGATATAGTGGCAGGAGTGACAATCATAGCTGTGGCCGAGTCGAGTTTCATACAACAACAAATTGTCACCAGCTTCAACAGGACCTCTCTGTCTCCCTTCTGTCTCCTAACATCAGACATGCCAGAGGGTCGTAACCTGATCTGGTTAAACCAGTCAGACCAGCACCAGAATCACAGCCTGCTGTTGCTTTTGTCCCACACGAGTCGTGGCTAACAATAGTGCTAATGTGTGCACAGGGGACATCATTTGGTTAATGAATATTGCTGTTACTCGAGTGAGTATTTGCATTGGTATGCAGAGTGATTTGTAAGAAAAAATTACTGTTGAGAAACTGAAGTGATAAGAAAGACAGACAGACAGACAGACAGACAGACAGACATGTATTCTAAAATCTTGCAGGGCAAAGTTGAGCTTGAAAGTGTTCTTTCTTTCACACAATGCATAATGTGAACATTAATACACTATATATACAAGAAATATGCTACAGTAAAAGAGACTTAGACCAAATGCAACTCTTTGTTAAGGACCATCTTAACACTGTAACCCTCAAGGACACACTGACAAACAAGAAAAACAGCCTTGTTTTATTTATATAACAATAATGTATATTTGCCATCACTATCCGCACTTTCTCCGGATCCTGTAATCTGACAGGCAGGACCAGTTGTTTCCAGTCAAAGATTTTGTGGAACAGTATAAGAGACTGTGGTTTTCAAATGTTTCACATGTGGTAAAGTCATGTGATATCAGCACAAGGACGTAGGTATTGCTTTAATATTGGAGAGGACCCATACAAAATGGTGGGTTTGGGAGTCGTCTGCATTTAAGTTTTGGGCCTGAAACACTTAATTTCCTGTATTCAGGTGATTTTTATGCAGCAATTTGTGCCTTTTCTACATGAATGTACGATATAAATGTCTTTGATCTTGTCAAAATAAAAGTCCTCTGCTATTTTCATGGTTTTATTGGGGATGGTGGGCAAATGCACAAGTTCCAGATTTTGAGGGGGGCGTGGCACGCATGTGTATCAGCACAGCTCATGTGATATTTCACATGTAAAATATAAGAAATCAGAAATCACATGTAAAAAAAATATATGCATTTATTTCACATACAGCCTATGGACACATATGAAATACCCTTCACATGAGATATACACATGTGGTTTATCACATTTATCATTGATATTCATCATCAGTATTTATCACCTTTATCCATTAGTGTTTAATTTGACCTGTTTATTGAGGGAGTAGTACATTATTAAACTTTTAAACTTTTCTTGCCCATATTAAGCTCAATAAATGAAATTACTTTATTTTAAGCAGTTTTTTTAATCTGTTTTTTAGATTTGTGAAATGTTCAATCAATTCCTGTTTTTTATATATTTCTTTATTTTTATCCAGTTAGATATCCATTACTACAATACAATGCTTTACTAACCATTTACAGTCATGGCACCTGTGGTTCTTCATCTGTTAAACACATTTCCCATGTGAAAACACAAAATTCACATTTTGAAAGGGCAGTCACAACACCCAGGGGCAAATTATAAGACAATGGGCCCCTGGAAACAGACATGTGAGGGGCTCCACTACCTCACCTAGGACTGGAAACACACACACACACACACCCACACACACACACACACACACAGACTTTGTGTTGATTAGGCCTCTTTTTATCGTTATTTTTTGTCTCTTCTTTGGTCTGTTTGTGGTAACTTTGTCTGTTTTTTTTTTTTTTTGTAATTTTCTGTCTTTTTTTCGGTCATTTTATTTCTCTTTGCAATCATTTTGTGTCTCTTATCGGTTGTTCTGCCCCTTTTTATGGTTATTTTGTCTTTTATTAGTTCTGTGTGTCTCTGGGGTAATTTGGGGATGCTTTTTAGATAATTTTGTGTCTTTTTTGGTCGTTTTATGTCTCTTTGTAATTATTTTTACGTCTCTTTTTGGTTGTTTTGCACCATTTGGATCCTTTTGAGATCATTTGGGGGGTTTTATCAGTCATTTTGTCTCTCTTTGTGGTTGTTTTGTCCCTTTAGTAGTGTTTTTATGTCACTCCCTGTAGTTCCTGTGCATCTGTCTGTGTTCCTTTTTGTGTATTTTCCTGATTGCTACCTGTCAATTTGAGCGACATTTTGCAGATGAAGGCAAGTGGCCCCCTGACACTATGGGCTCCTTGGCCTGTGCCTAGTATGGGTCCGTTTAGGAATCCATCCATGATAATACCTGTTGTGATATGAACACTAACCAACATTTTATTCATCCATTAATCAGAAATTAAACATAAAATTATTGTCATTAATTGCATTTTAATTTCATGTTTGTTTGTTTGTTTAAATTCATATGCTATATATGAGTTTTTGACCACCCCAAAACAGATTTCCCATCAGCCTCAGATGAAACCAGCTTATTTATGTGTTAAACTTGCTACTACAGTAGGCTCCTGTGCCCTCATTTACCTTTTTATCGTTATACATATTAACAATAGTGAAGTGAGTCATCATGTCACCTTCAGGTTACAGGATGGGTGACTCAGGAAAACGTCACCACCTTCCACACCCACAGGGAGTCACATGCTGAAACTACAGTTGGGCTGTAGCACTACACACCTGCAGTTTGTAAGCCACGCCCACATACCTGCGAGAACCAGGAAACCACTTTACGAGGACCAGACGAGACCAAAATACCACAAATTCGTATCATTGAAACCCACATCGCCCTCTGCATCCTTCACCTCCACCTTTACCTCTCGGATATATCAGCTGTGGTCTCATAAACAAGCGGAAACAGACGGAGTTTCACCTGGTGAGTAGGTGGCGTATTGTTCGCCCTGAGTGTCGACATGTTTTCACCGTGTCTCTCGCGCTCGCTGCCATATTAGGACATTAAACTGGTGCATAGTGGAGTCAGATAGGTTATTTCGGCGGGTTATGTAATAAACAACATTTTTTATCTCGCTCTTAAACGCAGCAGTTTGTTGTTTTACTTTTATCTGATAGATTATTTTTACCCGGCGCCAAATGCGACCTGCATTGTGTTGCAAGGCCTCAGTGTTACTGTTAGTGTGTGTGTGTGTGTGTGTGTGTGTGTGTGTGTCCGCTCTCTTCATGTTTTCATTGTATTTGCCACAGTGTAAATACACTAGAGACACAAAGTGGGGCTGGGCCAACATTGTGCTGTTGTTAAAAGGCTGCTGTGTATTCAGTGTTTGTGGTGTGTGTGTGTGTGTGTGTGTGTTGTTGGCAGACAGCATTTTGGGCAGAAACTCACTTTGAGTACCCAAAAATAACCTCAGA